TGCTTTTTCTATTTCTATGAGTAATGTCATTGGGATTTTGATAGGAATTGCATTAAGTCTGTATAGTGCTTTTAGTAGAGCACTAATCTCTAGGATAAATAAAAATTCAAAAATCTTAACAAAAAATCAAATAATATAATCAATACACGGGCCAAAGAACTGAACAGACACTTCTCAAAAGATAATATACAATCAACAAATATATGAAAAAATGTTCAACATCTCTAGCAATTAGAAAAATGCAAATCAAAACTACTTTAAGATTTCATCTCACTCCAGTCAGAGTGGCAGCTATTATGCATACAAACAACAATAAGTGTTGGCAAGGAAAAGGCACACCCATACATTGCTGGTGGGACTGCAAATTGGTGCAGCCAATATGAAAAGCAGTATGGAGATTCTTTGGAAAACTATCTCACGTCTCAGTCTATACCTAAAAGAATTTAAAACAACATACTATAGGGTCACAACCACTTCAGTGTTTATAGCAGCACAATTCACAATAGCTAAACTGTGGAACCAACCTAGATGCCCTTTAATAGATGAATGGATAAATAAAATGTAGTGTATATACAAAAAGGAATATTATTCAGCATTAAAAGATGATAAAATCATGGCATTTTCAGGAAAAATGGATGGAGTTGGAGAATATAATGCCAAGTGAAGTTATCCAATCCCCAAAAAACAAATGCCGAATGTTTTTTTCTGACTTAAGGATGCTGATTCATAATGGAGGGGGGGTGGGCATGAGAGGATTAGATAACTCTACATAGGGTAAAGAGGAGTGAGAGGAAGGGACGGGGCATGGGAGTAGAAAATATGGTGGAATAAGATGGATATCATTACCCTAAGTACATGCATGAAGATAAGTATGGTGTGACTCTGTGTAGAATCAGAGATATGAAAAATTGTGCTCTATATGTGTAATATAAATTGTAATGCATTAGCTGTCATATGTAACAAATCTAAATTTAAAAATAAACAAAATTTATGTATTTGCTCTCATACATGATTTACAGATTCTAGTATTTAAAATCTTTAAACATAAATACTTTGTACTACTTGGGTAGTATAGACCACCTGGTATGTACTTAAGATGATGACCTGATGAAAGTTGGTAAAGTGAAGAAGAAGAAGAAGAAGAAGAAGGAGGAGAAGGAGAAGGAGAAGGAGAAGAAGAAGAAATACAGCATCTTTATTACAAAAAAGAATATATTTTTAAAAATTCAATACTCTATAAAAAACATTTAAAAATTGTGCGAAAAGCTTGAACAGACATTTCAAAGTAGACGTTTGTTAAGCAAATAAGTACATGAAAATATGTTCAGTAGAATTTGTGCTATGGAAATGTAATCCACACTGAGATGCAGTTACCTACTTCAGAATTGCTAAAATTAAAAAGACTGATAATAACATGTATTATCTTGACTCTGGAAGAACTACAAACCTGACATACTGCTGATGGGAATGAAAAATGGGTAACTTTGACAAGGAGTCCCTTAAAAAGTTATTCTACCATATGACCCAGCCATTCTACTCCTGGGTATGCAGACAGAGGAAAAACAGTAGGTGTTCATGTAAAGATATTTACACAATTATTTATAGCAGATTTATTCAAAATAATCCAAACTAGAAACAGTCTAGATATCAATATGTGAGTGGATAAACTGTGCTTTATCCAAATAAATCCCTGATATACACTCTAGCACCAATCAATCTCAGAACAACTGTGTTGAATGAAATAAATCACACCAATAAAGAGTACTATAGTATGGTGTAATTTCCTTTAAATAAAAGTTTAGGATGTATATATTAATATACAATGGCAGAATGCAGATCAGTAGTTATTGAAGAGCCAGAGAGATGGACTATAAAGGGGTATTAGAAGAATTTTAAAGATGAAGCATATTTTCATTAACTTTGATTTGCATTTTCCTAGAATTAATACAATCAAAATATTGAAAATATATAGCTGTTTTGATGGTTTCAAAACTTTTAATAAGTGTAGTTCATTACTTATTAACTATACTTCAATAAACCTCAAAATAAAAATTAGGAGTTTATGATGAAGTTTTTTAATGTCAAGATGTGCTGAGCTTTGGCTAATCATTTCAACTGATATTAACAAATATAACAGTTCTTACACAGCATCTACCATCTAGTACTATCATATTTATCTCATTAAAAATGAGGGAGCCTTAAGGACTTAGGAATTAGACTAGAGACCCTGTGCCTAACAGAAGAAAAAGTAGGCCCAAATCTTCATTTGTTGGATTAGGCTCCAACTTCCTATTAGAAGACTTCTATAGCACAAGAAACAAAATCAAGAATCAATAAATAGGATGGATTCAAACTCAAAAGATTCTTCTTAGCAAAAAAATAATGAGGTGAAGAGACAGCCTACAGAATTGGAGCAAATTTTTACACATATGCATCAGATAGAGCACTAACCTCTAGGAAATATAAAGAACTCAAAAAAACTTAACACTAAAAAACCAAATAACCCAATCAATAAATAGGTGAAGGAACTGAATAGAAACTTCTCAGAAGATGATATACAATCAATCAACAAATATATTAAAAAATGTTCAACATCTCTCTAATTAGAGAAATGCAAATCAAAACTACTCTAAGATTTCATCTCACTCCAGTCAGAATGGCAGCTATTATGAAGCCAAACAACAATAAGTGTTGGCGAGGTTGTGGGGAAAAAGGAACATTCATACATTGCTGGTGGGACTGCAAATTGGTGCAAACCAATCTGGAAATTCCAATTCCTTGGAAATCTTGGAAAAAAACCGCCATTTGATCCCCCTCATTGGTCTACACCTAAAGGACTCAAAAACAGCACACTACAGTGATGCAGCTACATCAATGTTTATGGCAGCACAATTCACAATAGCAAAACTGTAGAACCAACCTAGAAGCCCTTTTATAGATGAATGAATAAGAATCTGTGTTACACACACACACACACACACACACACACAAAATTCAATATTACTCAGCATTGAAAGTGTTGGTTATTACCACTGTTCTTAGTAGGACGAAAACTGAGAATATTCATTTGTTAATGGAGGAAATATATCTATTTTCATAAATTGGACCCTTTTTACTGCCTTGAGTGATTCATTCACACAGCATGTAGAATCTCTAATTTCAGCATTTCAGTCCTGAATTTTATTTAAAATAGAAGTCTAAAAGTACTCTCAGAGAGAGAGCAAAACGGTGCACTCTACATGCAACCCCTGGTGGGTTTCATACACAATTTTTATGTTTATATTCATGACCACAGGATTCCTTGGTTAGCTGCTTGTTTATCTGGCTGTGAAACTTTGCTGTAATTTGATTTTCTCCTGGAAACCAATTCTTGAGTAAATATCATAAGAAGGGTTGATCCACTAAATACTAGGTGGTCCCAATTACAAGTGACCTGATTAGACAGTAAGAATTAATTTGAAGTGGATGAACCATTATTAAATAAAAGCTAGAAGAAATAAAACCTCTCCCATTTCATTTCACATGATGGCATGCATCTTACATGCCCTGCAGCTAAATAGAAAGATAGCACCCTACATATGGTAGGTTCATTCCCCTGTTTTCAGCTTATATATCCCTAGACAAATCACCATTACTATTGTGCTCTTCACTGACTTAATCAGGTAAAAAGTATACTTTTAAAAGTTAGAAGCTCTCAAAAGGAAGTCTGCAGCTAAGTTTTTGGTTACAAAAAAATGTTAATTAGTTGGGCATGGTGGTGCACCTATAATCCCAACAATCCTGAGGCAGGAGGATCACCAATTCAAAGTTAGCCTCAGCAAAAGCGAGGTGCTAAGCAACTCAGTGAGACCCTGTCTCTAAATAAAACACAAAACAAGGCTGGGGATGTGACTCAGTGGTTGAGTGCCCCTGAGTTCAATCCCTGGAATGAAAAAACAAAAAACAAAAAACTGTTAAACGTTAATTAGGCCAATACCTTTTGATAGAGTCAGTGTTTAATCTGGATAACTGAAAGAATTTTAGTACATGCAAACAAACAAAAATATATATTTATCCAGGGATAGGTAAGAAGTTTTTTCCCTGTATAGTATATGTAGATTTATTTGCTAAAGGGAGAAAATGCATATATTCAATACCTGAATGTCAAAGTCTTATGATATATTGGGAAGGCAAGGAATTACAATTATTTAGAAACTGAGTTCCAGTCGTAGTTCCAGTTCTGCTGTTCCACAAACTATTTGGCCAAAGATAAACAACCTCTCTGGGCTTCATTCTCCAAAAATGGCAAAAAGGATCTCTGACTTCCCAACTTTGGGAAATTTCTAACTGTGGGAAATTGCTAAAAGAACCAAATATATCATACATGTATCTTTCTCTCTCTCTCTCTCTCTCTCACTCACACACACACACACATCCTTTACAAAACTGTGAAAAATCACATATGCATTTGAACTGGCTTTTAGAAGCAGACATGTAAGATTCGGAGTAAAAAATATTTCACCAGGAGTAGAGAGACCTGGACTTAAATTTCAGCTCTTCCCCAAAGAAGCTGTGATTTTTGGAAAACGCATGCACTCTGCTTGGATTTCAGTTGCTTACCTATAAATAGTAAAAATATCAAATGAGATATTCAAAATAATAGCCTTACAAGTCTGTGCTTTTTGCAGGGTCTCAGAGATTGTGCCAAACTCCTTTCTTTCCCACAGATTTTCATTTTCATTGGTAGATCAAGTACTTTGAATTGCAGGCAACCGCAGCTATTTCCAGTGCCGTGTGTTTATCTTTAGAGGTTCTAATCACACATTTTCTCAGGTAGTCAAGGAGCAAGGCAACTCAAAGAGCTTTGGCACTCTCTTAATTAAATGATAAATATGTGTCAGAGTAACTTTGATCAAATTCCGCTCGCTTTTATCGCAGGACTGCAGTGATCATCCACATGGCTTAGACATTCTGATTCAAATACACATTCATATACACCTTATGAAACCTATTACCAATACCTGAAAAGGCCACCGGCTGGAAATGTGGAGGAGTTTCCTTATCCATCTGTCGCCTTGATCCCCAAATATCTGCCACAGCAGCTGTCCTCTTGAGTTACTCCAGATTCGCTGGTAGACAGCCAGCCTGTAAATGTGCTTTCCAAACATGTGGTAGTGTAAGCGGAAGGTGCAGCCCTCGGTGTCAGTGGCATTAAAGGTGGGGCTCAGTAAAACAGCCTTGTTTTGGAAATCCTGTGGCTCGGAGGATTCGATGTAGAGATAGTGTCCTTTAACTGTGCCCAAAGTATTATCCTTCATGGGCCCGGTATTAAGGGTTGAAGTTGGACCCTGGTTCCTGGTCCAATCAAAGTCATCTTCTGTGTCTTGTTCCCAGTTACAAATTCCATTCTCAAAGTTACACTGTAGTTCAGGGGCTGAAATTGGCATTAAATAATGGCAAGAGTTAATTAAGGACAAAACTAAATATGAAGAAGAACACAGATACTTTTGTTATGCAAAGGCAAGCAATTTTAACTTCAAAATGCATCATTAGTTTTTAAAACGGTAATACATGCCAGATGATGCAGCAAATAACAATATTCCATGCACTGAAGATAAAATTGCCTTGGCCATTATTTTCTTCATGTTTATTTGTTCTCCTCCCTATTCCAGGTCTGTTAGCATCACTCCAAGCAAATGATCATGACATCATGGCTGGTTTAGTAAAAAATTTCTAGCTCGATGCATTTCAAACTCAACTAAACATTCTAATCAGCTAGGAGCATTAAAAACAAACAAATACCAAAGCCCAGAGATATTTATTTAATTGCTTCAAGTAGTAAAGCCATGATCAGGATTTTTTATAAGTTCCCTTAGAGATCCTAATAAAGCTAAGAACAATCCTACTTCAATGAGTCTCACAATTTAAGAATCACCAGGAATTTATCGGTAAAATCGCTTCATGATAAAATCCCCAAATAAATACTAGTTTATGGAGTGAAACTCACAAATTCAAATTTTTAACAAATACTCAATTCTTTTTTTTTTTAATATGATGGTGGGAATTGAACCCAGGGCCTTGGGCATGTGAATCAAGCACTTTACCAACTGAGCTATATCCCCCAAACCCCCTCAAGATAATTCTTATGTAGATATTTTCAAAACTTCAGCCTAAAAAAAAAAAAATTAAGTTATATCCTGCCCAAGCTCCATGTGCTCCAAAATACCAGTGCCAGAATAATAATTCTTCAATGGCAGTATTACCACTTATTTTTTCTCTATTCAAAATCCTTTAACATACCTTCCTTTAATCTAAACTTTAATCTCCTCCCAATATTAAAATGCATCTCTCTCCTTCAGATGCACTATCTTCCTATGTATTTTGGACTCTGACCCTGTCTCTGTTCACCTCTGATGTTCACCTGTGCTTTGTTAACTCTCTGCTGTATCTCATCAGTGGTTACCCTTCTTCTCACTGGTCTGTAGCTACTTTGAGCCTTCTAAGTTTCTTCTAACTTTTCACTTCTAACTTCCTTCAGTCACTGGAACAATTTTGACTTTAAAGGAATTGAATAGACCAATTAAATGTGCAACCTCAATTTCTAGAGTAATACAGGAACATGTTCATTTTTCAAGGCATAAGGATTTTGTTGACACCAAGTATTTGCTTTAGAATAAATGGGATAAAATGTGCATTTGACAGTATTTGGGCTGAGGGGAATGGATTTAAAATTCACAGGTAGTTCCACATTTTAGCTTCATTTACATAAGTTAATATTTTAAAAAAATAAACGTCCACTGTCCTTTAACAATTCATCTTCATAATAGTACTTAGTGCCAAAGATGAGCAAACACCCTGAAACAATAAATAAAAGCCTATGTGAATAAAAGCAGTCAGGCGAGGACAAATCATCTGTCTCTGAAAACTGCAGAGCAGGCGCTTAGACCTAATGAAGGAAACGGAGTTGGTAAATGTCAAATGGGAGATGAGCTTTCATTTGATATTTCCTCACTTGTGACTAATCAAGCCCAGCTGTGACGTGAACTGGGGACATGCAATGTACTCTTCAGGTGTCTGTCTTTTGCTGTGGAGCAGATGGAGAATGTCAAGTTGCTGAGTTTTTGACATAAAACTGGCACTAATGCCAACAGACTTTTACATTGTCTGTCTTCACACTGACTACACACTCAATCTTCATTTCCATGGCAATATGTGTAGTTCTGCCCTTCAGTGAAAAATCACATCTCTAAACATATTTCAGGAGATACAGCATGGGTTTCAGGACATGCAGTGGACACCGTGTAATAAAATCACATGCCACCATGCAAAGCTGTGAGAAGCCACCATTCTCCTGACACTGTTTTTTCCTTTCAATAACACACAAACACAAGAAGCAATTTGCTGTTGTGTTTGCACTCCCATAATCCTACACTGAGAAATTTGAGGGATAATTTACTTGTTTTTATAAGCAGCTCAAGATTTAGAATTTAGAGAACAGGGAAAAAATGAAAAGGCTTTTCCAACTTTGAAAAAATAAATTAGCTCTGGGGCAAGTTAGACTTCTTATGATGGTCGTTGTCAAAATCATCAATGTTAATGCCATCCGCTCAAATATCCGTTGTATAAATTTCATGAGATGCATGGTAATTCTGACTTTAACATGCTTGACTTCAGTATGCCTTTGATAATGTGTATCAAAGTTTGCACACCTGCAAAGCTCTCTGCAACAATTTACATGGAAATTTCTTAATGTAATATTTTCTGTAAGGTACCAAGCATTCTGTGATTCTATCTTGGTTTATAATCTGCTTCCAAATTTAATAAATACCTAGCTTGAAATTTAAAAATTGTTGCTGCTTCAGGAAAAGGAATCTGAGTCCAAGAAAAGTTGCAAACTTCTAAAATATTTTTGAAATGAAAACAAAATACCATTAGCTTCTGATTAACTTTCAGAAGTGCATTACTGAAGCTACGTGCATTAAGCTGCAAGGCTCACATAATCATCAGATAACAAAAACTTAATAACTTATACTAGAGACCCAAGACTGATTTTGACACCTTATTTCCTAATACCTAGAGCCAAAAGAACAAGTGTACAAAATAATCAAATGTCCCTCCTAAATAGTTGCCCTAAGCCTCATCACTCATCTCCTTCACCACCAACACAATTCACTGCCATCTACTGTTCTATGGGATACTGCAAGAGTTCCTTGCTAGATAATCAGAATCCACTGTGCTCTAACCATTATATCATAGAGGGACTTTTTTTTAAAAGCATGCAAATTTGAGGGTTTTATTATTTCCCTTCTTAAAAACTTTCAAACAAAGCAGATTTCTTGAGCCTGGACTGCAAAGATCTGCCAATCTAGCCTCCCCCATACCTCTATCTCTGTGTTTTACTCTCTTGCCCCTTTCTTCACTGGAGCTACATCATCTGTCTTTCATCAGACTTGCAGTCATATATCAGGGCTTTTGATATATACTTTGACTTATTATTTTTAGATTATTCTCCTAAATCAAATTCCATTACCATATAAAGTCCCAGCACCCCTTTTCATACCTCCTGGGAGAGTTGATATTTTATATTTATTTATGAAATATTAGAATATCCATCTCTTCAGTTAGATTGTAGAGCCCATAAAGGCAGAGATTCTGCATAATTGGGTCCTTCCACTGTATTCTTAGGATCTAGTTAATAAGTCTTCTAAATAAAGGCTGAAAGACCTGATTAATTAATAATAATATAATATCTGATATTCACTGCATAGTGGCACTGGATTGATTGACTAAAAAATAATAGTGAGCTAGTCAAGGTCACCCCCTCAAAATAAGTCAGAGGGACCAAAAAAAAAAAACATTAAAAAGGAGAAATGCCAAAACCCTTACCACAGTCAACTTCATCAGTATAGTCACCACAGTCATCCACCAGATCACATAACCGAAGCCTTTCTATGCAAGCATTCGTGTGTGGACAACGGAAGTGATCTGGCTCCTCGCAGCTCTCAGCAGGCAGAGGAAGGGTACAGTTTTCAAATCTGATGTCATCAATAGCCGAGACCCCATCATAAATGCCAAGACTGACTTTATCCAGTGTCAAGTAGAAGGGCTGGGTCAGGCGCCCTAGCTGGATGTTCACCTGGGACCACTGGTTGCCCTGGTTGTACAACACTCTCCAGAGTACTGTTGAGTCACCAGGGTTTTCTGTATGTAACCGCAGCTCAGCTGCTCCCACTGACAGGCCATAGTTATAAAACCTGAAAAAGAGCAAACCCAAGAAGCAGGCATAATTTATGAGATACCCTAAATATTTAACCTCTGGACTCTTCCACTTGGTCAAGAGCCAATTAATAATTGGTTGTCATAACGGACACCGTTGTTTCCTGCAGTAATTCTTGCCGCCTGTTTGCCAGAACTCATCTGCTGAGGTGATACTCCATGGCTCTCACAACCCTAATCTCACATCAGATTAGAAAAAAGGATAAACCAAAAAGGCATCATATGAATGTGCTAAGTGATGATGTTCAGCTGTTGCTACACATACCGATGCAAAATGATATTGATTTCCATTGAAATCAATGGGACTCCTTTTCAAGGAATTTGGGGAGAACAGAGGAAAAGTCTTAATTAAATTTTAATCCACTACTGGTGGGAAAGAGTACTTATCATAAGAGGAAAAACAAACAAGCAAACAAACAACTTATGACATGCTCTTAAGTTAAATGAAGACTGTGTGAACTTAGTGTAATACCAATTTTTTAAGCAAAAACCAGGGATAAAACCAGAACAGTTAATATGTTCAGAAGGATTTCTGCAACTACGGGGTCAAAAGGGTAATTGGGAATTGTTTTTAATATTTACCAGAAAGAAAGTGTGCACCCAGACCCTGTCTGGCTAAAAGTTGGGCTCTGGAGTTTAGCAACTTGGGATAAGCTGTTTCTGTTCTTCAGAATAAACATAAAATGGCCTGTTGGGATACAAAACAAAATCGTTAGTTAGCCTACTGGAATTTAAAATGAGACAAATGTCTCTTAATTCAATACTGAGTGAATTTAGAGCACAACTAAAATTATAACTTACACAATAATACAAAAATCAACAGTGATCATTAGTCAAATTTGCTTTTATAAAAATGCTAAATAATATAAAAATAATTGATAATTTTGGTTCATCCAGCCAAAAATATATCTATGCTGCATCTCTACCACCCACAGAGCAATAATTTTATGCAGACAGAATACCACCATGGACAATATTCAACCATCCTACTGATGCTTCTTCTGATGGCATTGAACACATCTCTTTCTCTTTCCCATCTGGGGCCAACAGTAAATAAGAGTAGTTAGTGGAAACTTACTTGCTTCTTACCTTCAGTTGTGTTATGAGTATGATCCTGAGGGGGCGCCTGGTGCTTAAAATCAGCAGAAAGATGACTTTGGGAACTCCATACCCAGTCAAAATGGTCACCAGCAATTGCTTCAAACCAACCGCAGCTGTTTGCTTCAAAATCACAACTGGAAACTGAACAACAAATGGTGGCACTTAGGGTGGCTCTCCACAGTGTTCCCACACTTTGAAAAGGTAGATTTCAAATGCATACAGTCTTACTATGATTTTCCCATTACAGTAAGGGGACTATATTAAAGGACACCTTTGAGGGTGGGGAAAAAAAGATACATTCTGATTTGAAAAGTGGATTTATGTTTTTCATACTGGATATTGAGAAAGCAGAATTTCAGTTCTCAATGGAGGAAATTCAGGGTTTGTTTGTTTTTTTGATATATTCTATAATAGCATCATTCAGCCTTATTGTTTGTAAAATTATTAAGGTTTTGCTAATTTGTTTTCATAGTCATTTCAGTTTCCCTCTTCTTGCTAGAGACTGTGTTAATTGCTCCTAAAGACTATTTTAAATTAACTAATGAAAAGCAACTACTTATAAAAAATTAATATTTGGAAAAATCCCAGGTTTACTATATGATAAAACGTGTAGCTCTGATTTGTATAGAGTTTAGCATTTCACAAATCATTGCATCACCTAATTGTATAGGAAAGAACTTTTTTTTTCTGGTACATATGCAGATAAATCAGTTATTTTCCACAAAGACATTCTAAAAAAAAGGAAGAGAAGGGGGAAAAGAGAATGGGAAGTTATAAATATTAGCAGTGTAGAATTATAGTTAATTAGTTACTATAATAACTTATACAATAGACTCTGTGCCAAATGTGTTACATAGATTCAACTTTCAGAACAACCTTAGGAGATAAGAACTGCTGTTGCTATTTTACAAAGGTAAAAAGTGAGTTTAGGAAAAGTTATTAATGTACCCAAGGTCATATAGTTAGAAAATTATGGAGTAGAATTGGAATTCAAATATTATGATTCTTAATCTAATTTTTTTTCAAACTTTTGACTATAACCATTGGTTGTCATCCGATTAGAAAAAGAATAAACCAAAAAAGGCATCATATGAATGTGCTAAATGATGATGTTCAGCTGTTGCTACACATACCAATACAAAATGACATTGATTTCCATTGATAATTATTACACTGGGATCCTTGGCTATTGTCCGATTTTATCCAAAAACACAGGCATGTACTGCATAGATATTACCTTGTAAGACGAATTGGGAAGGAAGCAATAAGTTTCAGGGACAAAAATAGAAAGCAAAAATCACTAAATGTGATTATAAAATTTAGCAAGGGTCCTTTAGCTAATGATAAATCATTTTTTATATTAAAAATTCTACTTCTATATGGAGAAGAATGAGAGGTAATATGAGAAATATTTGATTTTTAATAGTTTTTATAAAATATCTAATTTCAAAAATACAGTAGCCCTCTGAAATTTCCTGCTCCAAAATTTGACCAGCGTGGTACTTCCAAAGTTTACCAAAAGTCAGAAAAGAATGTATGAATACATCTGAAAATACTTTTAAAACATCAACTCTAATTAGAGGTAGCTATATTTCAGCATATAGATACAATTAGAAATAAGCATTTTATCTATATGCAGAATAAAGATTTCTCAAGTAAAGTTTTTCTCAAGCAAAGATTTCTCAAGTAAATATTGGTGATTTTTAAGAAGTTAGTACCTAGAGTCTAAGCAAGGACCACCATTGGGGCTTACAGAGAAATTAAATTGAATGCAAAATTAAATGTTACTTAACAGTGAAAAACAATAAAGATAAATATTGCAAGTTAGGGATAAATATGAAGAAAGTTTAATTAAGTCTTTGTATTTTTAAAGATTATCTCTAAGTATTTAATATACATAAATATATAGGCAGATATAGATTGTGGGGTTTCAAAGCATGTAGATATCATTCCACTCCCCAGGAAGCTGAAGCTTTGATTCCTATTTCATTCAAACTGCAGAAGATGTCTAGGAATTCTTGTGACACAAGACAGAAAGAAACAAGTTGCTGTTAATGTATAGTATCTGCCCAGAGCAACTACCTGTAAAGGGAACCTGGCTCTCTGCTATCCAGGAAGATACTGCTGTAGATATAATAAATATTCAAATGGCAGTAAGATTTAAAAAAAAATCCCTGCAGTTACTTTGTAGTTCTCTTAAAACAGTTAAAGATTATAGGTTTTTTATTTAGTGTATCAAAGAAAAGGTTCCCGTGTTTGTTGTAGCATTATTCACAAGGACAAAGAACTGAAAGTCAGATACAGAAATACAGATACCACATGATCTCACTTTGATGTGGAATTGAAAACAGTGTATCTCAGAGAAGCTTAGAATAGAAAAGTGGATACCACAAGCTGGAGGAAACAGGGAGACAAGAGGAGTGGGGAAAGTTTGGATAACCAGTAGGAAGTTATATTTAGAGAGGATTCAGAAGTTCTGGTGTGCACAGTACAGGGGCTACAGAAAATGGTAATGCACTGTATATTTCAAAGAAATAAAAGGTTTATTTATTATATTATATATAATTATATAATATATATATATTATATATAATTATACCATGAAGAAAGAATAAATATTTGAGGATACAGGTGCTTACTTGATTTGAACATTGTATGACATATATGTGTATTGAAACATTTCACAGTAACCTACAAATATGTACAATTTATATGCCAATAAAATGATTTTTTAAAAAATAGGAATTTTTAACTGAAAATTCTGTTAAAATTCAAATATGCTTTCTGAGTACACTTTGTTTCTGTATAAATTTCTATACACATTTAAAATTCCCAATCATAAATGTGATAACCAATGAAATTAATCTCCCAGCTAGACATAATTAGGTATATACCTCACTAGAAGAGACATGGAAATTATACACTATGTATCCATTTCTGACTCAGAAATGCAATGCCATGGATACATTTTTAATAGTTGAGATTCAGGGATATTTCACTGTTTCTGGATCATTATCGATTTCCTCAATTATCATCATCAGAAGCATCATTGTTTGCAATAACAATTGCAGTTACTGATTACTCAGAGTTTGAGGCATAGCATGCTTCAGGCTGGGGGCTGTTACATTCATAATAGAATGCCTGTTGACAGCATTTCTGAAAAGTGTGCTTATCTGTTCTACAGCTATGGGTAGAAAAGCTAATGACTCTACAGCAGCTTTTAATTATTGTGAGAAAAATTACCTGAGTGGCCTGTATTAATTATGCAAATATAATTACATTAGCTGCTCCTGGGACAAGGGCATTAGGAGATAGCTAGTGAGCTGCCAAGTAGGTCCATCACTGCCATTTTCACAGCATTTCATTGAGGCAGAAGATGGATTTATGCAGTTGCCAAGGAAGTTCATGAGGAAAAGAGCTCAGAATCAGGTCCCATTTCATTTCTGATTGACTGTCTTAGAACTTCTCTGATGGTTTAGATGATCCTATTGAGGTTTACTTATAAGGAATAAGCACAGAATGTACAAAATGGAAGTCTGAGCTTATAATATGCTCCTTGCAAAAAGCATTCAAAAGTTCAGAGGAGGAAATATGTCCTATGACATTGTGCAGTTGAACATCAAACTCTTTCTAATCTGAACCACATAGAGAAGATGTTGAGTTTTAAAAAAAGGGAGATGGTTGAACATAGGATTGGTGACTTTTAAAAAGTTAGTATCTGAGTCTAAGCAAGGACCACCATTGGGGCTTACAGAGAGATCTGAACCATCAAGACACCAGTGCCGAATATTTAACTGTCCCTGTTTTAGATATGAAAAATGTAAGGTTGAAAGAGGAGAAACATAATTTTTCAGGGCTCATTACTACTTCCACAATCCCAACCCAGACCTGATGTCAGCCTGTGTTCTTAAAAATGATACTGTTTCTACTGGTTCATTAAGTAATAATAACAACTTTCAACAATTATTAGAGGCCAGGCACTGTGCTGTGTGTTTTTAATTGAAGATCACACAAAATCTTAACATGTCTGATCAAAAGACATGCTCTGGAAGTAGATTTTAAACTATGTAATAATAATAATTATAAGTCTACTAGAATGAGTCTCCTTGGTTTTTCAAACTTTTTTTTTTCTTTAGATTTCATGACCCTCCTGAAAGTTGCATGAGGGAAGACAAAAGTTAATTGAGTTTTCTAGTATGTTCCTAAGTTTACTAAGGTTATGCTTTGATTAGGCATTTGTTCTAAATTTTAAAATGCCTAATCAGAATTTAAAAATTTTAAAATACAATATTCCATATTGGGAACATGTTTTCTATGTAATGCTTTTGAATTTCAGGCTTTTTTAATGCCTTCAAATGGTTATATGTTTGGATTTTATGATAAGGTTGGAGTAACTGAACTCTAGACTTCATCAATAGTTAATATTCATTAACAATTTAAAACAATAGATAAAAGCAAGAGTGTGCATGCAAAATAAAAAAGATGAAATAAAAGATGTCAAAATAAATAGAAATAATTAAAATCTGCTAAAGCAATACCAATTCATATATAACATGAGATTCAAAATTTCTGCATTTTAAGCAAAAGTAGTTAATCACATCATTTAACATATAGTTTTAAAGGTCTTCCATAATCTCTTGATATGAAGATTACATACATCTTTTATGTTTCTGCACATCATTTACCACCCTTTCAAGGAAGCTAAATAGCAAACAGTCATGAAAAGAGAAAGTGACTTCCTCTACAAGAGGGAGCAAGATATCATCTCATGTAGTAAGGACAATGTCTCCCTGTAAAACAAAGGTTAGATGAGATTTTTAGTGTTTTTTGTTTTCATCTTTGGTATTGGGGGAGTTGAAGCAAGGGGTTCTTTACCATTGAACTACATCTCCAGCCCTTTTTACTTTTTATTTTTTTGAGACAGGATCTCACTAACTTGCTGAGGGTCTTACTAAGTTGCTAAGGTTGACCTTGAACTTATAAGTCTCCTAACTCAGGTTCCAGAGTCGCTGAGATCACAGGCATGGGACAATGCTCCCAGCAAAGATTGAACAAGTGTGTATGTAGCCCATTTAAAAAGATTTTTTTAAGTTTCACTAAGCACAGCCACCGTAGCTGTGATGCAAACCTACTTTATACTT